TTAATAATTTTTTTAAGCAATATCGAACATTATTATATTCTTTCCGTAATAACTATCCGTAATGACTATCGCCTAACCGTCAACTTTACCCAGACATTAAGGAAAGCTTTATTCGCGACGCAAAGACAAAAGGCACGACAAAGCGCTTCGTGCCGTAAACTACATTTGATACCAGTGAGGGGGAGGAGGGGAGTTTGGGGTCGCGTCCAAAATGTAAAGGAAAGAAGAAACAGCTCTTACAAGTGCATTTACCGAAAGTTCTCAGGCTCGACCTCCGCTCCTCCGCATCGGGAAGCTCATCACGTAGACTTTAAGCCCTCCCTTATCTGCGCGTCATCAGGAGCCAACTTCCCTCCGACTCTCTATCTACCCGCTCTCTCGCCCTCTCGCTGTCGCGCACACGTCGCCTCTCGACCCTCTTTCTCTCTCTCTCTCTTTCTCTCTCTCTCTTTTTTCTGTTTTATTGTAGGTGTGTAGCGCATGCATGCGTACAGCGGCCGTGATTTACGTCCGCGGATGCAGCGGGATGCTTTAGTGCTCCCGGCGTTATTCTTTCTTCGTTTTCTTTTTTTCTTGTTTTATCCACTTCCATTCAGATCCGCTCTGTTCCGTGGAAAGCGTTTCCTCGCTCGTGTCGTTATCCACCATATCACGATAAATATCACGATATTAAAATACAGATTATATTTGGTAACTCCGACTTATAGCGATAGATCACTTTCGTCGCCGAAAGAGATAGTCATATCGACAGACGTGAGAATTCTAGGATAATCCGGGAAATTGTTTTTAAAACGCAACTTTCTCCCTTCGCGTCGGACTCGACGGCAAGAAATGTCCCAAGCTCATTCTACGCGTATAATTGCGTAACACTACGAATTTACACACGTCGCATTATCCCCTTCGCGCCCGCTTATAAAACCCGACATGATTCGAGCGTTGCATCATGAATGAAATCGCGGACCGTACTTTGGTCCACTAGAGGCGAGGGATGTACCGTGAATTATTCATGACATCGAATAAGAACGTAAACGACAAAAGACAAACGACAAAGACGCTCGCGATACTTTTTTTTCATAGCGACTTAGCGAAAGGGTTTGCCAACTCGTCGACGTCTTGTCATCTCTGTGGCGACTAACTGCGTCTGACGAATTTAAATTTTTCGCGGATTAACAATTCTTTGGAGAAATTGGCCGTAGGAGCTCCAAATCGTTGCAGATCGAAGCGATTTACGATTCCTCGCGCGAATCTAATCGCGGCGCGGTGCCGTAAAAGTTATTCTTCGCTCCTCGTTATCGGACGGTCGGCGGAAATGACATTTTTCACCGTAACGCTACAAAAGCCCGGGCATCCGATAGCCGGTCCGGTTCCCCGCCCCTCGGTACCAGGGACCGCGAAAGAAAATTATGTCGAAACTGGAGCCGTAACATTAGGAGCATTGTATTGTTGCGCGAGGCTACGACTCTCCGGGGAATAGGTTGGAAGGTCCGTTCGTCCTTTTCCGACTCACGTTCCTCTTCGACGAGGAGCGCGCGCGCGCCCGCACACAGACGCACGTATCCACGGACGCGGAAATACAGATGAAACCGGGACATACCCTCAGGTGGTGCTTCGGACCGGCAAATGAATCGTTTAATTGAATTAGTCGATGAGTCCGTGCTGCGACGCGCATTATAATTTCTATGGGTTGCCGATACCGTTCTCGCTTCCCGTTCTTGTTGCCGAGAGGAATCATATCGAAGAGCTCTGCAGGGAAGACTGTCATCGGGGGTTGCGAAAGGGTTGCGAAGATTCCTGTTACGATTATGTACCGCTCAATTTTCTTACAATTCATTCGGGTAATCCTCGTACAGCGGACGTATATCCCTAAAAGTATTTTACAACTTTGCGTTCTGTCGTAAAAATCGTGAAATAATCGTGATTCAGGGAAATCCAAGAAAAACACGCAAAACGGTACAGACTATCTTTGAAAGTTATCTTGTTGGCTACAAAACGATGGATAAATATCGTAATTTCGCGACTCTCGCATTTTTTTTTAATGCAACTTTCTCCGGAGAAATCACTGTTGTTCCAAGAATCGCTGATATTTGAAAAAATCGAAACGTATATAACAAATTGCCATATTATTTCTTTTAGGTGTAAAAGATTTTTTCCGAGGGGTAAAAATCTCGCGCGCGACCATGCATGCATCGAAAATGTCGCGATAGATACTTATAGGCTTTTGCGTCATGTATTTTGATGTATAGAGAAACGGTATTGTCCCGCTCGGTAAATTTAGTCGATTATTATCACACAACTGCTATTTTTCGTACCTACGGCGCGCGGTGACGATTCGAGTTGCACTCGAAGCTGAGAGACGAAGAACGAAGGGTGGCGGGCACTCGAGGGCGAGAGCTCGTCATAGCTCGCTGCTGAATTATTGATGGGCACCAGCACTTAGAGAGGCGAGAGGATGTCGAGCGCGGTAGCGGAAGACGATAGTAGTCCTTCTCGAGAATCGCCAAGGATATACCGATATGCGATGGTTGCGTTGCGCGAGGGACCGCTATCTCCGGTCCCACGGGATTCTCGGATCTCGCGAGCCCTCGTCCTACCGCCCTCGCCGCCCAATTCCGGCCAATTTGACCGAAAGTTGGACGTAATTTTATTTTCACACGTCTGCAGACGCGTTCCGCCGTGGCGCGGCGGCGACCCGGCCGAACGAGGGCTGCTGCTCGCCGTGCTTAGGCTTCAGCTTCTCTCCGGTTAAGTTCCGTTCCTCTTGGGGAATGGACTCGACACGGTCAAAGGAAACGAAGGAAGCTGCGCCCCTCTTCCCTCGTATTCTTTATCCTCGCCAATCGTCGGCAGAACCGTCGGTGTTTAATCGTCTCAATTTGGTCCGCGTTCACATGATGGGACGCGACGTGATGGGGCTCTACAAGTAAACGTATAACGTGTCACGTGGGAAAATACATGAAACTCGTGTTGTATTATTTTAACATGTTGTATTATTTTAGAAAAAAAAAGTATTATACATATATGAGCAGTCGACAAGAATCGCGATATCAAGCGCCGCGCCGGCGGGAAAAGTTTAGCGCACGCTTCACTGCAAACGTGTACTCTATCATTTGGCCAACGCGGCCGTGGAAGGGAGGAATCTGTCATTATCCCTTTGGGACGAAAACGAAAGTCCGCCCGTGAACGAAACTTCATCGGGGGTAGGAAGGATCGAGTGTCGCGGAATGCCTGTAAAATGCCAAAACAAGATTCTGGCACAGTAGTGGCTTATACCTATGTATCGGGGGGATGCTCTCTCTTTCTCTCCCCTTTTCTTTCGTTTTTACGACTTCCGATCCCTGCTCGGGTGGCAGCGCGAGAATGGTCATAATGGGTTACCATCGTGTTGGCGCATCTCTCGCGCAAGGGAGAGACAAAACTCGAAGTGATGGGGAAAGCACCGCGACGTTTTACAGTCGTTAAGCGCAATAGCGAACGAATAAAAATCCTATCGCATTTCGTGTCATTTCGATTCCGAATCACCGCGGCGTGGGCGCTTCCGTCAAGCCGGTCCCCCCGGCTTCCGAACGACGGGAGTTAGTTAATGGGCGAAACTCTTAACTATTCGGTGCCTTCTCGGGGCACAGATCTCACGGAGTTACATTAGAGATTCTCCGCTTTACGCGCACTCTTTGATTTATTGCGGTGCTCCTGAAGAAGAAGGGTTACCTCGCGCCTTACCGCGTTCCAGATGGAAAACAGCTGACGTCTATAAGCATTAAAAATTGGCATTTGATTGTGCTCAACGTTCGTTGAATTTCAACAATTCGAGTCCGGCGAGAACGAGTCCGTTGAGCAAGTATTCGTCGCCGATTTAACAAAATCTTCGCGTACGCTCGCGACATCCTGGAAAGTAACGCACGACGTGGTCCACCCGCGCCAGTTCTCCGATTCGCCGTCGTCGAAGGTTAACGACCAAAAGCGGTACCAAGAAACGGCACGTAGATTACGCGCGATGCCGCGCCGTCGCCACCATTTCCAATTGGCCGGCGTTTACAGTTTAAATGTAAAACCGAGCACCCGAGGGGCCGTCCGTTGGGCGTGGTTACATTACACCGATGTTCACTCGCGGATACGTTCGCCGGCTTGTCAGTAAACATGGGCTTCATAGCGCTTGAATAATGTATGCCGTTTAAGCGGTGGCCGCACCGCGACACAGCACATCGCCACGCCTCTCCGCCTTTATACCTATTTGCGCGACCGCATAATTTCAGCTTCTGCCGTGCGCATTTGCGCGAAATAACAATGCCCGTCTCTGTCGTACGTCGCATCGCTCGCAAATGCCATTAAAAGACACGTCGCGACGAACGACGGGCATCCGATAAAAGAAATGGGACCGGAAGTACGGAACGAATCCGCGGGTCGATCGCTGATCTCTCTCTCTCTCTCTCTCTCTCTCTTTCTCTTTCTCTCTCTCTATGATTAAAACTTATGACCGAAATCCATATAGACTTTTACGATTATCTCGCTAGGACGTTCATCAAACCGCTAGTTTTTTAATCGCAATTAAAGTACATCGATATTAAGGGTTACACTTTTGCATTCGCAGTTCTAATTGTGATTAGTGACCCTTAGCTGCGGACATTATATGCTAGTATAGATGTGGTACTCTTATTGTTAGATGTGAAAAAAGGGAAGTAAAAAGCGCTCTTCACGCTCCATATTATGTACTTGCTGCTGCATTTCCGTGTACTTTTTCAGCATTAATTTAAGCAAAGAATAAAATTTTACTTGTTTCCTTAGAATAATTGATCAAAATTACAAGTGGCGAGAGTCCCAGAGACTCCACGCGACCACAGTCAACGGTTAAAAGCTACACGTTGGCAGACGGAATTAGTTGACTTTTTTTTCTCTGGGGACTGTTCTCTGTACGTGCGAATTGCGATTCACGATAGCGTCTACTGCGATTCGAAGAGACGCACTGTTCTCGCCGCGCTGTAACCGTGCGCGTGTTTGCATTACAGTATCTTGGAGTTGCGCAAGGAGAAGAGCCGGGACGCGGCGAGGTCGCGACGGGGTAAAGAGAATTTCGAGTTCTACGAGCTCGCGAAAATGCTACCACTACCAGCGGCCATCACCTCCCAGCTGGACAAGGCCTCCATAATAAGGCTAACGATCTCGTACCTCAAACTACGCGACTTCTCCAGTCACGGCGATCCGCCGTGGTCCCGCGACGGTCCACCGCCCAGCAAATCCGTCAAAGGTAAGAGACAATGCGCCGCGTTTCATCGGCGACTTGCACGAAAAAAATAAGGTGACACTTACAGCATATTTCGCGTTTTTACAGCGTTTGTCATTGGTTATTGCACGAACAACGGAAAATTTCTTAAGAATACTGACTTTATATGTTGAAAATTATTTCGTTGCGAATCCACAAATTATTAATTAAATCGTTTCGTCGCAACAGTAATATGTATTTGTTGAGAATATACTTTATTTTGCTTTAGCAGCAAGTTAAATTTGCTTAGTGATCAATTCGTGTTCCTATATGAATTACAGATTTGCTCAACAGAATTATTTTTGGACAAAATAACTTTCACCGTATCGAATATCGAATAAGTGCTCATGGTAGCAAAATTCGCAGATTATTCTTACGTTGAAGATGCAATAGCGAATGGCAACTGTTTTACTGCGACAGCAAAATCTTTTTATTTTCATGCACTTACCGAGTGATTGATTCTGCACTCACATTGAATTTAACTATTGAAATTTGTATTATGATTTGGGTATCAAGTAAGATTCCATCCGTTGTTATTTCCATCAGATATAAATGCAATACATAGTATCGCAGTATCAAGCGAACATTTTGTATTAATTTATCGCGATAGACGTAGTGTCTCGCAGTTTCTCCGGATAGCCGATTCGACGGAGATATATCTGCCGATGATGTCTCTTGATGGATCAGCATTTAACCTCGGGAAGGGGGAGTCATCCAGACTGTTAATAGGGATCGGGACCCGTATATTCCGTACGCCTAACTTCCTCTCTGGGGATAAGAATAAGAGAGGAAGTCAGCCGCGTTATAATTCCTTTACGCTCGTGTCGTCTGCAGTGGAGTAGACTGGCGTTGCGGCAGACACGTGCGGAATGTATCGCTGTATTTCATCGTACGTGTGATACGCACTTCATATTTTTCAACACACATATCTGCACACTAAAATTTAATAAATTCGTTTCAGATAAATTTAAAACGAAATAAGAAATATAAATAACAGAATCATCGCAAATATCAAATATGTAATATGTATTTTACATATATTTTTTATTACGAGCTTTAGGATGCTTTATAATTTCATATTTAGCAGACAGATATATAAATATAATTTGTTAAATGATTGAAACAAAATAAAAATATAAGTAAGAAAGCAGCGTAAGAGCATGCGGTAATCGCGTTAAAGTCAACAGATATTCGGCCTGTCTCCGATTGCGAATGATGTCTTCTCGCTAGACACGTGTCTTCTATTATCAGACAGAATCGACATCATGTCGCGACGTAGTGCCGTATAATTCGATTTATAAAAATGTGCTCTACGTACTTTCGTAAAACGCCTCGCCTTTATATATATCCCAATTTCGTGGCTCGATAAAGTACCTTTCGTCGTACATAATATAACGCGAATCACAAGAACCACTGGGATACAGCTGGGATATATCTGACAAAGATTGTGGACAGTAGCCTCCTTAAGGAAACACGTAAACTTCGCAATAGATCGAGCTTTCTGATACCCTTTACAATTCCAGTGACCATGCAGCCTGCGAAAGAGAGAGATTTCTAGATACATAGTAATAGAGAATTGTCGGCAATCATCGAGCGATAAGATCGCCGCGGGCCTCCTTCATTTTCGTGCTTCATTTAGCGAAAAGGGAGCAGCTACCAGTTTAGTTTAGTGTATTTTTGCTCTCACATTTTTTCACTCAAGTTAGCTGAAGCGCCCTGTTACTCTCGCTGCTCGAGGTTTTATGTTATATCAACTAATCAAGCCGACTTTTTCAGAAAGAATAAACCGCTGTTGTGCATTGTCGCTAATGCTCATTCCCGCTAGCTATCAATGAGAGAAAAAATTCTCCACAAAGGAAAAATCGTAAAGACACCGTTGTTGAACTTGTCGGGAAGCTTCACTTACCCGCAGAGCCACCGCATATTTTCAGAGTGGCGAGGGGCTGGTTGAGTTAATATTTACAGTGCGGGAGGGTCGCGAAAAGATAGAGAAAGAGAATGAGAATGAGAGAGGGGTTTTGCCACGTACGCGGGTACGTATAAAGGCTTAGGTACCTCTACCACTATCCACATGAAAATCTAATCACGACGGCCCCCTACGAGCGCACGCCTCGCGTTACGAACCGCCAATGTAACTAAACTAACGAAATTGAGTTAGGTGCCCGCGCATCGCTGTGCCGCAACTCCTCGTCAAACTAAATCCAGTGCGCCCCTCTTCTGTTCGCGCCGCATGTCAGGACCGCCGTCAGAACGAGAGGCCTCTCGACTTAACACCGGATAAAATGATTTCGCGGTTCCGAATCTCCAGCAGCAACCGGCCTATCGATTCACCTAAAATCGTAAAGAATCGGTTTGAAAAGAATAATCAATTGATGTAGCTTCCATACGTACGATAATTACATGGTATTTGCTCGTGGAAATATCGGCACGGATATTTTTCTAGCTGCAGCCTAAAGCAAACACACACGGCCAAGTTATATTTATCAAAATATTGTGATAAATGGTGGAGGTGTGGTACCGGACTTGATGTGTGGACGAAGGTTGACCGCACGTGGCGAGCTATAATATAATATCCGCGTTACGGAAGTAATTCACCAAAGCTTATCTAAAAAAATAAAATGTTCTGTCAGATTCTTTTAAACAGCGCTTTACGTGCGCTATTTAACATTTTTCATTTGACAGTTACTCACGAAGTAACCGCTGCGAAACAACCAATCGGCATCGCGAAAAAGCGACAATACTTTGACAGATGCGAGTATCGATGTCATCCTTTTTTTAGAAAGGAGATTTTGAATATGTGGTTCATTATTCTGGTTCTTTAATTGATTTTCGTATTATGTAAAAGTCGGCACATGTCAAATTATAAATAAAAAATAGGGTATTTAATATCGAATCTTGAATTCTTACGCGAATTATAAAGCATACTTTACGATACATAAAATCATAAATGGAATCTTATTTTGATATTTGATACGGACGACAGGTCGCTTAAAGCGAGCTTCAGCAATAGTATCTTTAAAGATCGAATACATCTTCAAAGATTTAGTCAATGGGGGTGCGCGAGGGGGCTCGTTCGCATTTGCGAAAGGGTCATTATAATTGGGAGAACAAAGGCGTTCGTCAAGAAACGAAATCCCGTTAGATTATCCCGGAGTCCGGCTCCGTACGATAGGAAATATCGGCATTACCTTGTTGACCGAAAACCCGAAACTTGGGGTCAGTCCGGCGAGTCAGTCGGGTCATTCCGCCTCATCCCGATGGACTTACGAGATTAAGCGGTTCGCGCGCGAGTTTGATCGAGTCTTCTAAGTCCTTTCATTACGGAGCTACTGGGGAGCGTAGGATTATTATTACGGTAAGAAGTAGCCCGCGTCTTGTTTGTTAAACGAAGGGAGAAAAGAAGGCGCAAAAGGGGTCGACGGAGTCGATGAGCTCAATGCCGATGTCCATACCGCGTGAGTCACATATCGTTCATCAATCGAGGGATACCTCTCTCGATAAGTATATGCCGGTTTGTCAACATTGTTACTGTTCAACATTGCGTTACCAATACTCGTTCAAGGAGATTTCAAATATCTGATTAATCGTGGACGAGGCAAACAATAGATTTGTGCGAAAGATTTCGAATGAAATTGAGAAACCAAAGTTCTTTAAAAATTTCTCTTCGGTTAAAAAGTGAAGTCCGTGGCGATAGTTTTACTTCAATTCTATTTTTGAAATTTTGTTTTAAACTTAGCAAACACACGATAAATCACACCAATGTAATAATAAAAACGAGTGTTTGCAGTTAGTTAAAAATTCGAAAATAGAGATTGTCGCGAGAAATTAATAATTCAAATCATAATAAAAGACATTTATATGTATTATTATTTTTAAGCGTTATATTATTTTGGAGTTGTTAACGTTATCTTGGTACGTTATCTTATACAGGTGCTAATCGAGTTAGAGCGTCATCGACTACAACGATAGATCATTTCGAAATTCATCAAGGTACTCACATATTACAAGTAAGTATCATCACGCTGTTGTAAACGATAATGCGTTCACCAAAATAAAGTATCTTTGACTTTAATATTTTCTTTTCAAATTACATTAAATGTTGCACCACAAGCTCTTTATTCTCCGATCGACATCATACAAATCTATCGATCAAATTTAAATATATTTAAAGTATAAATCAAGTTGAAATTCGGAAAAAAATCATTAATATGACTACTCATCTCCCTCTCTGCAAAGAGGAAGAATTTGTTTCGGGAAATATTATTATTTTGCATTTATCGTTTGAGAATATTCGATCCGGAGTTCTTCAAGTATATCATATTTTTTGTCGCCAGTCCCTGGATGGCTTTGCGATGGCTGTCGCGGCTGATGGCAGATTCCTGTACATATCTGAGACCGTTTCGATATATCTCGGCCTCTCACAGGTAAGCGCGGCTCGTCGTCATGGCGGCCATGTCGATGAAGTCGGAAACGACGGGCACGAGTCAGGGGGTGCGTAGGGGAAAAGTGATAACGATAACGAGAAAGCGAAAACGGGTAAAAAGCAACGTGGACGCGCCGAACGCGAATGCAACGTGTACCGTCAACCGGAAGGCTAGAGATAGTAGTAAGATATAAAGACATGACAGAGGGAGGAGGAAAAGAAGAAAAGGGAAAAGTTGACGGAAGAGAAGGAGGTTGAAGTTGTAGCGATGGTGGTAGCGGCGGCGGCGGCGGCGGCGGCGGTGGCAGTGGCAGTGACGGTGGCGGCGGCGGCGGCGGTGGTGACGGTGGTGGTGGCGATGGTTGCAGAGGTAGCGAAAGAGGAGGAGAAGGAAAAGTTGATAGCGTTGTAGAAGAATAAGGAGGAGAGGTCAAGGGAGGAAAAGAGGAGAAGGTTGTACGAGTTGGCGGCCATACTGGCTGGCACGACGGGCGAGCATGACATAGAACGGGGGGAGCGAGGGGGAGGAAAGGGAGGATGGGATGGGTGGATGGCGGCGGGCGGAGGTGGTCGCATGCGGCTCACGTAGCCTCTGCACGGCGGCGTGTTCGCCATTCCTAATGCCGCGAGCGAGAAGGTGGACGGGGAAAGAGAGTAGAGAAGAGCGGTGCCGGGGGATAAAGCGGGGAGGAAGAGGGTACGGGAGGTGACCGGTGTAGCTCTAGCCTCTCGGTTCTCTGCGAAGCTCGTGGGGCAATCAATAGGGTGTTTCGGGGATTCGGAAAACCGACGGGAAAGCCGACGTTGGCACAAACATGGCCGCAGCGCCCGTTCGCCTCCCCTGACTTTCTCGAGGCACTGCGTACCCCCTGCGTACCCCTATACGTGTCTTGCGCCGAAACCGACCCCGTGGCGGCGCGGCATGATTCTGTCCCCTGTAAGCTGCACGAGATAAATCCCGCCGTGTAGAAGGGAAGACCATTGTTTTTAATTCCAGGTAGAGATGACGGGTTCGAGCGTTTTTGACTATGTCCATCAGCAAGATCATGCCGAGGTCGCTGAGCAACTCGGTCTGGGACTCGCATCGTCGACAAGTACCTCGGCCCCGCACTCGTCGAATTCCGGTCTAGCCTCGCCGAGTAGCGGCGCGTCGGAAGAGCATGGTTCGTCCTCCACCGCGAATCCCGACGGTAAATCTTCGTGTCACGTCATATCGAAGCGCGTTAGTTATTAACTCTTCAACTGCACGGAGAGAATTTTTTTTTTAATGTATCCTGCAAATCATGTTAATTTTGTGGGACAATATAGTATTTAGGCAAATTTTACTGTGCACTACAATAAGATTTTACAGTAAAATTTGCCTAAATACTATATTGTCCCACAATTAACATGCAGGGTAAATTTAAAAAAAAATTCTCTTCGTGTGCGAAGGTTGAAAGCAAGTCTTTTAAAAATTTTTTTTATAACAAAAGATTATTTTAACGTATCGATTTTTATAATGGCCAGCATCGAACTTTAAAAGAGACATAATTATACGAGAGAATTCGACCAAGTTAAAATAATCGTGATAATTGCTGTCTGACGGCAAAAGAATTAAAGAATTAGATATCCGAGTGTATTTCGGAGGACTCAATTCTTTCATGTATATGTATCTATCCTCAGTGTCCTCGGTAATGTCGCTGTCGGCGACTGGACTCTACAAGGGGTACGACCGAGCGTTTTGCGTTAGGATGAAATCCACTCTGACGAAGAGGGGGTGTCATTTCAAGTCGTCGGGTTATCGGGTAAGCGAAATCACGCTTGGTAATCCTAAGAAAATTTCTCGTTTTAATTAACGTTATTTAACGCGCGACAAGATTGTGTAAGATAATTTTACATTTTTTTACGCTATATTTTTTATACACGCGCGTATATATATAGGTTGTGCTGTTGCTGTGTCGTTTGAGGCCGCAGTTTGTATTCAGCCACGCGAGAAAGTCCGCACCGCCTTTGATGGGCATGGTCGGACTAGCCATCGCGCTTCCTCCGCCCAGCGTGCACGAAATTCGTCTCGAAACCGACATGTTTGTCACACGGATCAGTTTCGACTTTCGGATAGCACATTGCGAGCCAAAGTGAGTACCGCTTGCATTGAATCGAGTCTGTAGCGCTATTGAAGAAGAACGACACGAGAGTATATTTAACCATTTTTCAAACCACGTGGAAGTTTTTTATTTTAAGACAATAATGTACGAGTATAAATATTGCCCGCATGCTCTTGTGTGATAGATTGTAAATCCTAATCTACGTTTTCTCGCGTGGTTTCCTTCCTGGAAATGGACGAATTTTATATAAACGGTCGCTTTATAATAGGAGCGTAATTCGTATTTCTCAGGGTTTCCGAATTGCTGGACTATACCGCCGACGAATTGACGGGGAAGAATCTTTACACGCTGTGCCATGGCGAGGACGCGAATCGGCTCCGGAAGTCTCACATAGATCGTGAGTATGACTGCAGTCATCAATTACGTTCGCCACGTTCAATCGTATAATTCAAGTCGAGTGAGTATACCGTTTGCACGATCGCGCACCAAAGTCACACGCGAGAAGGACCTTCGCCCGCTCTCCCCCAATGTTTTTCTGTGTAATGTTCGAAGGAATGTACGCGTGTGAATCCCGAGTAATTTGTTGACTGTGTGAATCCCGAGTAACTTGAACAATAGTTGCGCCGCGCAAATTTTTGCGAATCTCAATTACGTCGCCGTGACCACAATCCGTTGACTACATCGATGCCACAACGCGATCGTGGAAATTTTTCATCAATGCCTCCAACACGTACGACGATGTGCTTCTCTGCAATAGTATTTTATTTGTCGATTAGATTATTCTAAGATGAAAGAGAAATATGCTCGAAAGAGAACGGGGCTTACGAAATAGGGGACATTAAAAGACGGACGAGAGAAAGAAATAATAGTTGTGAGGAAGAAAATGAATTGCAAAATTTGCAAGAAATAACAAGTCGGGAAAGAAATACGCAGGGGATCGAAAAACATAATCTATGTACTTATTTCGAATTTCTCTGACTGACAAACGTGACAGAGTTTCAAGCCACTAAATAAAATAGCCGCTGAATAAGAATTAAATTAACGTTTTAATGCCGTAAAAAGAAACAAATATCTTTTTTTTATCAGTGTGCAATAAATTTGCTTCTGTCTTCTTTTTTTCGCAATATTTGTACTCGAGAAACAATTAACGAAAATAAGAGCTGTCACGTTATTCATATACATACGTTCCCAACAAACCAAGCCGATAGATCTGCCACGCAGAATTTCTTGCTCCTACTGTTCTAGGAAAATACTTTGGTGAAAGAGCGCGATGGGTGTCAAAGCTGTCCGGGAAGAGAGAAAAGCACGAAAGTATTAATACGTTGGTCTTTTCGACTGCGCGCGACCGCTTGCAGATTTAGTAAGTACGTATCTGTTTGTATTTGAACGTTTCACATGAGATTACTAGCCACGTAGGCGTTGGGGGATAACGTTTCTCATTGATGAACATTCGATCGCGCAGATAACTATTCGCAATTATCATAGTTACAAATATATCTATCGCGCGCGATCCCTTGGCAAAACGAATGAATATCGCTCTTTCGTTAATTGAGTGTTTTCGAGATACGATAATGCACAGATTTCTGAGATCAGTATCTATGCAATCTATACAAACTAGAAGATTTAATTTCTTTTATCAAAAAATATACGTCGTCGTGATACACTCTAACGTGTCTTCGTCGGTTCGATCAGCCTCGGACAGCGACAAACTATTACCCGACACAAACGAGCACATTGTCAAAGATAATTATACGGAAAATTATCGATGATTCTTGCCCAATCAGCTAAACAAAAGATTTAGAAAATCTTATTAAAGAACGAATTATCTTTTGCGGGACAGACTACGGACGCCACTTCTAAGAGCATTATACAGAGATGTAATTGAACATTTAACACCCTGAAAATAAACGAACGATTGATCAAGATACGCATTGCCCATATATATATGGAATGCCTATCTTCTCTTTCATCGTCGTACAAACGGTAACTTCGACGCTAATTATATGGTATTGCATTTCCGAAAAAGTGTCAAATGCTTGAATAAATAAAAGGATTTAATTACCCAAGTAACAACATGACGTCAAATGACGCTTTAATAACGTCTTATTGACGTTAAAGACGTTATTAAGATGTCACCTTGTTACTTGAGTAGTTAATATTTCCGCGGGTATACGTCTCACGGGTAAATCAAGGCCCTCAAAAAATTCTTAATTGTGATTTCAGTGATCCATAAAGGACAAGTGCTGACGCATTACTATCGGTTGATGAACAAGAGTGGCGGATTCACGTGGCTACAGACGTGCGCAACCGTCGTGTGCAGTTCGAAAAATGCCGAGGAGCAAAATATCATTTGCGTCAATTATGTCATAAGGTGAGTCATCAAGTGAGTAACGAACGACGAACTCGCTTTTCTGTCAAACCTTATTGTGTTTAATTGTCTTGTTTTTTTTATAGCGGCCGAGAATACGAAAATTTAATTATGGACTGCTGTCAGTTAGAGGACGGTGTCACCGGTGTCAAGAGGGAAGATACGGCCGGGAATGATCCGGAGAACGGATCGCCAGATGCTGACAGAGGAGGTACAAAACGTTCTTTGATTTAGCGACAAGTACAATTTCCCCGGCCCATCGATCCTGGAAAGTCTTCTTATCTTTCTCCGTCTTGAGGCAATATTCGTTGCGACTTTTGATTTCAGAGGGTCGTAGTCGAGGCGGCCCTACGAATCAGCATCAGGAGCAATCGCATCGATCTCCACCCGACGAACGGGAGGAGAGCCATGCGTCGGAAAGTGAGAAGCGAGGTAGCCGGCATCACGACAACATAGCCCAGTTGCAACAGGATTCACAGACGGCGGTTGGGAATCTCGGCACGCTCGTGGTGCGACTGCGAGGGCACAAGCGAAAGATCCATGACGACGACAGTAGCTCCAACGAAGAGGAGGACGAGGAGGAGGCGGCGGCGACGGCGACGGCGGCGGCGGCGGCGGCGGCGGCGGCGGCCACGGTGAAGGAATCGAACGGCGAGAGAACCCGTGCGCTCAGCCCTAGCGCAACATCCACGCACTCGATCTCGGCCACCGAACAGGCGCTCTGTTCGGCCAGTCCGAAATCGCGTCGCGCCGAAGGCAGCAGGATGGACAGTGCCGAGAGCACGGGAACCTCGGTGAAAGATCTAGAGCAGGCTATGTCGAAGCACCTGCCGGGGAGCTCGCTAAATAAATCAAACTCACCAGTGGCGCTTCATCAGCCGACAGATTTCAGCACGGACGCGTTGTTGAAGCAGCAGCAGCAGCGGAGTACGATACAGTGGATCGGCGCGCACCATCATCTGGGCCATCTGAGTCCGCAGCAGTCCGCCGCTGCTCCTTTACCTGCCTCGGCGCTCCTTAGGCAACTTTACGCTGCCAATCGGGAAAGCGTGATACGTGCCAATGTCCACGGAATTACGTCAAGCGGCGGTACGCGCGCTCCCACGTCGGCTGGTATCTATTATCCGGGCGAAACCGCCCCTAACGGACCTCTGCCCACGCCGCCGGGCTCGGAGGGTTCCAGCACATACGGCGAGCATCAATTTGTGCTCGCTGCTCACAATCAAAAGGGATCGAACGGCACCAGCTGCGCCGACGCTTTCACCAGTCTAGTTTCATCGTACTCATCCGCTACCGCAGCCGGCTACTCGGTAGACTATCATTCGGCGATGACACCACCGTCGTCGGTGTCGCCACGAGACAAGCAGCAGCAACAGCAGCAACAGCAGCAGCAGCAGCAACAGCAGCAACAGCAGCAGCTGCATCCCGTGATAAGTAGTTACGAAGGCTCGTCGGCGTACGCGGACCCTGTTCTCCGTCACCAATACGAACCAGCCCAACCGCTACCCTTGAAACCCCAGGTATACTCGGCAACTGTCCATCCGAGTGCCTTAGACGCCGCAGCGGCGTACGCCTCGGCAGGTCTGACGGAACAACCGCAGTTCTACCATCATCCGGCCAGTAGCGCCGGCTTCCACATCTATCACCCGAGCAACAAGTCGACGGCAAACGGCTGGTATACTTCGGCCTCCTAGTGGCCCCATTCGTAGAGGTCTCACCGCCCGTGTACGCGGAACACGTGTACTTAAGCGACTGTAATTAAATCCAAAGCCCTCTCCCTCGTGCATATCAGTGATACGCTATCTCGTCGCTATCTTTGGCGATCGTTGGCGAGCGAACCTCGTTGTCGTTGTCGGGACCGGCGGGGAATTCATCTCGCCGCTCCTTCCTGCCGAGTCGTCGAAACTCGGCGCTGTAACAATCGCTCTCTTCTCCATTATGTAGAACGATTTATTGTAATATAATGAATAAATTATTATATATATGTTGACTTTCCGGAGGTATCTGCGTAAGTATAGAGCCAACTGAGAAACTCATCGCGTGTTCACCGTGCGTGTTCCAAGTGATTTAACGCGACGCTCAAAGAGATCGTAATATATCTAAGAATTCGCGATTTATATATGTGTGATATACAGAGACGATTCTTAATAATATAGTTTATACTTCAGATGAGCACAGAAACAAGAAAAAGTGTTGTATGCATATGGATCGTTTAATTCTTATTCTTCCAATAATAAATTAACGGAAGAATACATTTTACGGCACTTCATTCTTTAATAATTTATAATTATAATTCAGAAAAATTTGAACAATCTATTTTCATGTAACAATTATTCTCGTTTTTGACTCTAGATGCTAAAGTATTCACGTATAATTAAGAAACTTTCTGTATATGTGTATGTATATATTATAATTACATTATTTCATTTTAAATCGCACTTTAAGATGTCTTGTTTAAATGTAAATTTATTTCTCCAAACAATTGGATAAGTGATTAAACGATTAGTTGGAACATTTTTCAATATCCTCGAAAAGTCGTCAGAATTATTAAAAGAAATCTGAAATTTTAATTAGATTCAAATCGCGTTATGTTTTATTAATACATTTTCTCTAAATAATTTCGACGATATTTTGCGATCGAAAAATGCACGTTTTAAATCTCGCTAGATCTCTTATCCAATTATTTTGAATAGAGCGATGAATTTACAGAAAAACAGATATCTTAAAACGGGCGAGAAAACAACATCCGAGGAGAAATGTTTTCGCGTTGTGTTAAATATTACTAATCAAATATGATTACCGTGTTAGCGGTGATTTACTCGAGTATGGTACTTGAAATATTTTGTACCATAATCATTGTGCGATGATTTTCATAAAACGGATGATACAATCCTTTCTCTTTGACACGTTGTAACATTTATTTAACGAGAGAAAAAACGCTGAAATTATCTCGATATCGTACTCGTACGAAGCGTGTTTGAAAAATAGCACGGCATACTTAAGAGAAATCGCTATCTCTATTAATTCGCGCTGACGTCTCTGTTTTAGGCAATTAAATATTGAATTTGTTAATCGGAACGCGCTATGTACGATCGGTCTGTCCCAAAGAGTTCGTTGTTGCAAGCTTCTTGTTTTAGATTTCAACTTTGCGATCGAGGAAGTAGCGAGACTTCTTGGTAAAAAGTAAAGAAAACAATTAATTTGCATTCGATATCAATTGTTATCCGGCCGCGTTTCGCATCCAGGTTCAACGATTGTGACCTATTGTGAAAAATGATAATGAGTTATGAGATTGGTGGAAAATTGGAATGCGATATTTATACATTATCGCAAACGGAGAGCAATCCGGAGAAAAAAAAAAGACACGAGTGATATTAAAAAGACACTTTTATTAAATACGCACTGAGATTCTTTACTTATTAAGGACAAGAGACATTTGTATGTATATTTATAGACTGCTCTAGCGATTTTACCTTTTAAATGTAGGATAGATAAAAATGTAGATATCGAGAGGGGACACGTATCGCGTACGCGACAAGAAGTCAACATTGCTCTGGAGGTAGCGAATTCTTTTACGAAAGTTATTGTATTTTAATGTTTAAATATTTCGACCAGTTGTTTTTGACAAGTACACGTGTAAATACAGCTTACGTGCCTAAAAGTTCATTCGCTCAGCATTCATCGATTTCTTCCGTACTGTATTGATTTAAAACGAAGTATATCCACATGACGTGTTTCTCCCGCATAATAATGTTGATTTGCAGAAACTTGCAGTTGCGTTTCGCGCACTTGGATGCAACGTCACCCGATTGAGCGAGCCTGCCAGATGAACCGTAAGTAAACGTTATAAATAATATCGGTAAGTAATTGAGTATTTACGGAGAAGACATTTGAAATCTAAATCACTGATTTCGTCTCGATTTTTTGGAAAATTTTAATAACATCTTTTAAAACATGCATCAAGCACTAAAATGTTTCGATAAAAAAAAACACAAGGATGGACCGCATACATGATTTATTTTTATTTAATTTTGTTCTCAATATAAAAGACACATGTTCATTCTTCAGATCATTATAGATTCATTTTTTTTTTCAACTCGAGTATTATTATTTGTATTAGCAATTTGTTCGTACAGAACCGTGAAAAATGCATGTTTTCTGTTCAACACAATCGTTGTACTATCGATTTAATAGCAAGAAATAACGAATGTGCTATTCGTATAAAAATGACTTATGTACAATTTCGTTTTGTATTACATGCTTAGTATACAATTATTATCTTCATTACCGTTATTATCGTTTCTGCTCTGTTATTGTTATCGTTACAATTATTACCCTTAACACTATATTAATATTAAATTACTACAGTGAGTTTGCAGATTATGTAAAAAAAAATCTGTAAAATAATCATATAAACAACTGAAAATAAAATAAATCTAAACAAAAGTGTTAAACGCACTTTGGACGGTAGACATTTCGATTAATACTGCGTATTATATAAAAAAAAAGAAAGAAAAAACGAAACACATATAGAAAAGAAATACATAAGTAGTTTATCTGTAGTAAGGATAGCTTTGTACATGGAAAATCTATTTATGTTACATAAAACACTCTTTTATGCTCCATTGAAAACGCATTTGAAACGTACAACGACCACGCCCCAATCAGGAAATGATAATTATATAACGTAATCTCTTAATTCTTTTTCTCATTCGCACAATGAATGAACGAATGAATGTACGCAAAATGTAAAAATGAAAATCATTCACATTTACTATTGTAATTGCACTTTATATAAAAGGAGTTTCTGATATAACGGCAGTTATATTATGCAGAGTTGCGAGAAATGCATTAACAAAGAAATATGGAATGACAGTTTAGAAATTATGAATGTTATATGGTAAAATAAGATCCAAAAAAGCTAGCCAAAACTCAGATTTAATTCTACGAAATATAATTGTGATTTCTGAGCATTTTCTTAATCTAAATTTATAGTATGATTCATATAAGCTTGGAAACTATTATAGAGATAGTGACAAAATATTTTTTATCGTTTTAAAATTCGTTAGGCCTCTTTATAATACTGTTAAATCCTCCAGAAGCGGGAGACAATACTATACGTATAAAAATAATTTTTAAATAGAATTAACAATCGGACTTATAATTAAAAACCATTTAATAAAACTATATAATACGGATCTCATAACTGAATGCAAAAATTTCGTTTTTTTTTTTAAGTTTTGGCCAGGTTTTTTGACTTTTACTTTTGTGATATATCACATGATATATCTCTGACATAAAATTATAATATATATAAAAAGATAATAATTGAATGGAGCAAAAGAGATTTTATCCTTAGCAAAGATATAATTTTATATTAAGTTAATGTGTACTTCGTTACTTCTCTCTAATATGATGCATCTCTAATATGACGCATTTCAGTTTTTAAATAAACCACTCTTTCTTTTTCTGGACTTGATGACCGGTGGCAGAATTTACGACCGCTGAATCCGGATCTAGGGCAATTTCAGCACCCTTATCCTCTTGCGTCAAGTATTCGCCTTTATGCCTAGACATATATCTGCCTATAAGGATCGCCATAATCACAAGTGCGATCAGAATAACCGCTAGTACACTTCCCAAAATAGCTGTGTCAGTCTCGTTGTACGCAGCTCTCACTTTTTCTTCGTCTACTTGAGGCGGTGGCCGTGTCTCCAAAATATATGGCGGATGCGTGATCGGCTCGACCCCGCAGAAGTCTTCGGTCAAAGGAGTACCAAGTGAGCGCACATTGATAGGTCCATTCTCTTGGAAGAGTAGTTTCAGTGGATATATATCGTCGAATTCAACCCTCGATATACAGCCCGCAAATCCCTCCGTCATAGATTCGTTCTTGCCGATGTACATGTACTGAATATTGTTGAATTGCGCGTCCGCAGAATTCTTTATATTAAAATTGAACTCCCGCGGCTCGTAATTATCGACCTGCATTACCAAAGTGGCACCTGAATTTTTCCTGCCGATCCTGATATCGTGATACTGCCCTAAACCGAAATGCTTCATCGGGAATATGACCTCCTGCCGTTCGAAGCCAAAGTCAAATACTACGCGTAAATGTCCGCTGTTTGAAACCATTATAGTCATATATTCTCCAGAGATATTGGAGAACAGACCCAATAGAAATCCTTTCGGATTCGTCGTCGTAAAGCCGACGCGTATCTTCTCAGCGATGGTGGAACGCCAGCTACCCATGAAATCGTATTTTATCATCGAACTAGGTCGCATGTTCACGCCAATCTCTGAAAATATTCAAATAATAACCGAGATTAGAATAGCGGCCGATTTCATTTGAATATTTCGCGTTAGAAATGTCTCTTTCCTACTTACCGTCCGCACAAATTGGTCCCTTAAACGCGGTCCACCGGCAGTCGCACCAGTATCCGTCGTATCTTTCATGGCACGTGCCATTGTTAAGGCAAGGGTTACTCTCGCATCTGCCGACACAGTCTTCCGTAACGCCGTACAATCCGCGCCGAGCGTAACTTCTTAGGTCTTGCAATTTACCATTGAGAAGTAGCGCTCTTATACAACCGACAAATCCGTCCCTGTAATCTTCCGTAGCACCCACCACGAGATCCGAGGTAAGATGCAACGCTCGCACTGGACCCGGAGGTTCTCGCACTTCGTTCTTCAGCGCCCCGTCGATGACAATTCGCGCCTCCTTGCGATTTCTTTCCACTGACACAGAATGCCACCGATCGTCCGCCAAGTTGTAAGATGTTTGTACGCTAACGGTAAGCGGCCCTCCACCGGCCACGTACTGGAAGTGTATCTGATTTCCGCTGTTTATGGAAACTTTGATATAATCGGTGGGTCCTTGGCTATGAATCATCACAGCATCTTCGACAGTGGTCTTAAACTCGAAATAAATATCGCCGCTATGGCCGATATCGAAGGTCGGCAAATTGATAGTAGCGTCTTTTACGCGGAATGTGACTACATTCTTGAACAAATCTATAATAAGAGGATATACATATTTGTGTCATTTAGTATGAATTAATAATAATAATAATAATAAATTATCTGTCATTGCGTATATATTGGAATGGAAAGAAAAATTGAACTTACCATCACCCTCGCAAATGAGCGAGCCTAACATATAACGACCCTCTTTTTCGTCCAGCGGCGTACCCGTGTCGCCGAAACGTAATTGTTTAACGGGAAGATATTCCTTCTCTGTAATATCTCCACCATCCTCTAACCATCCTTCCAAATTGGCGTCGCAGTTGCACCACTTGGTAGGATCCGCGCAATTTCCAAGTATACCACATTCGCACTTTCGCGACCCGGGCAATGCGCCACCCCAGTAATCCATCTTTTGATTATTCCGACTCACCCACCACGAATTCGGTCTAAAGTAATCGTTTTGAGCAACTGAAAATAACCACAAAGGTTGACACAAAAGGATTTCGGGATACGAGACGCGAGATATTTAAGACATAATTACCTGGGGAATTGAATAACCTGGAATGTTTGCACGAATAATTTATCCTTTGTCTACAGCTTATAGATCGATTTAACAAAGCTTCTATTTGATCAAGGTCAGCGTCGTAATTAACGTCCTGTATAAAGCTACCAGGCTCCTCGAATCCATCGACGGGAGTCGAATGCTCGTTGCTGTGACGTAAAACCGTCAGTATGCGGCCATCGGCGAAGTACTCGCAAGTGACAGGAAAAGGCTTCAAGGGCCCGCTCCCGTCCACGTCGATTTTAATTTCCGCACGCTGATTTACCGGATTCATATTCTTATATGCCTCGCATGATAGGGGGTTTAACGCTGCATAAAATTGTAATATTATTAATTTTAGCAGAAAAAATATTTCTTTTATTTTTTATTAACACACCGTGTACTTACAAGTATGACAGACGGCGCCGGCGTACCCAGTATTAGCACAATCACAGAAGAACTCATCAGAATTTTGACGGCAAACACCGGAATGTTTGCAAGGATTTGGATTGCAGCGATCTACCATCTGACAGGTGTCGAAGACAACTTCGTTCTTACAGCAGTACTCCTCCTCCTTCCAGTCGGTCGGCAATTTATAATTCCCATCGATACTTATCATTCTCATACAACCAACAAAGCCGTAATTGGGAGCCGTAAAACTCCCCGCTCCGGTCACACCGCCAGTCACACCGCCGATCAAATAATACGATCCGGTCATCATATCCAGGAGACGCTCCGTTTTCATCGGACGCCCGTCGACATTTAAAACGAGTGAATTTTTGGCGATCGTCAAAATTATTTGATGCCATTTCCCATCGTTGAATTTCTCGTAAAAGTTGTCCAAAATCGCGAGTGGGTTGCTGTTCGTTTGTACGTCGACTTTCAATTTACCTTCTTCCAAGTATAGCTGCACATTAAAAAATAGATAAATTTATTTGCATTGTATTTACTAGCAGAATTAAATGCCATGCTTGAAGATTAAAATAAAAATGTGCATAAACCTTGACATAACCCGGAGTCGTGAATTGATGGTAAAGGATTATGCCTCTCTCTTCGTACGTTCGAAACGCAAGAGAGACGTTCATAGACGGTACGCCTTCGTAGCCTCTCAGCCTGGCGAAAGATCCAGGAGTTAAAAATGTGACGGGTATCACTGGAGGTTCCGGGCACGTGTAAAGCGTGTTAATCTTGTAATATCGCAAATTCTCATCTATGATTTCCGTTTCCTTCAACTCGTGAATTATATTCGTTGAGTTCAGATAAAAGTTCTCTACACAACCGGTGAAATTTTGATTCACCACCAAACCATCCTGTTTGTTAGGCACACCGCCGATGTAGAGCTAAAAAGGAGCATTCATTCTTCGTTAATCCTAATGTTGATCATGCAAATGTTCGATTGCTAAATCATTTATTTAAAAAAGTTACCTCTCGATTTAAATCCAGTCGATGAAACTCCCCTTTTATTCTACCCTTAATCAATACTCTGTCGACAGAAAACGAAATATTTTTCCGGTTGCGTGAGACTAGAACATCGTGCCACATGTTATCGTCCAGAAGACTGCCAACGGATAGACTCGTCATAATACCGGATCCGAGATCGATATTAAGCAACATCCTGTTGTCGCGCAATTGTAAGGCTATGTAATCACCCTGTGTTCCACGGGAATACATTAACACACCGTCAGCATTGTTTGTCTTAAATCGGAAACGTAGAAAATGTCTGTCGGTCTCGATAGGCTCTCTAAGTAAATCTAGCCGTACGAGAGAAGATCCGTTAAAGGAAACGACGTCAGACACTGGAATATAAAGCGATAGATTTGTCATCTTATAAACTGATATACCATCTCTCAGAAGACAGAAGCATATATTTTATACCATAGTCGCATCCGTAAAGTTCGACCCTCAGCGATATCCTGTCACGCCATCGTGTTGGATTTATTCTAATCCATTGCGCAATTATCGGTACCTCAAATTTATTAAGTTTTATCCTGTCTCCGTCTACATTACCCTTAAACATCTGTAGAAAGAAAGGAGAAATGAGAATGGGTGCTGCTGTTATTAAATCGATATTCCCCGTTTGCTATCTTAGTGTCAGTCAATAAATAATTAATGCCGCGACAACCGTGCAGAATTTAAATAAATTGCGTGCATGCTGTAAGTTAAAAGTAAATACTTATCAGTAGAGTAGCTATTAGAAATACAAAACTGTTTGCAAAACACGGTTAATCTCTTAGATCTATTCAGAATATTATTCAGAAACATCGATCATTAAACCAATTTGGAATTTGTGTTTTCCAACTTGAAAATTAAAAGGATCATAGAAGTGTTAATTTAATTGCACGATTATTCTATTGGGCACTTAGGCAAAGACTCGCTTATATTACACATTTTTAATAAATGCAACGGATGTTACCCAATCACCGCATTAATTGCATAAGTACGTTAGTGCAGACTGTTAGTGACAAGACACGCCAATATTAAGAGCGAATGTATGACGATCATAAGAGTTATAGATATGGTATCATTTATACAATAGATTCTGGAGAAGCAAAATATTGATTCTTCTTGATGGATTATATAATTCTATGATTTTTACGTGTATATACATTTTTACGTGTGAGTAAATCTCTTTTCGAAATAAATGAATAATCTATTGTAATAAATATCGAGTAATAGCTACAAATTAAAATCGTTTATCAATAATCGTTTATTGAATTTATCATATTCATAATTTATGATGCTTTATTATTGCAAAAAGATATTAGCAAACAATATACTTGACGATACAAATGCAAATATAGCATATCTCCTTTATAGTCCAAATATTCGAGTCTTAGCAATAAATTCTTTGTAAGCTCCTCCAGATATCATAATAACACCATAATAATTAATTTTAAATTTTCAAACCCCAATAGCGATTATTAGAACAGAAGATTCCAAAGAGTATCCTTCAAAATGTATGAAAAGTTCTTACAGAAACTCATTTCGTTAATGGAATTTCTACAAAAGAATAACAATTAAGAAATTTTATACGCTTATTATGGGTGTACATAGAACGAAAAGAAATTACTCAAGTTAAATTTATGCGCATTCATTTATAAATCGCAATATATCCTTCTATAAAATCTTACAAATAAACAAAAAAATTTTACATTAAAACGATTTAATAACGATATAACAGAATATATATTTTAAGTATATCATGTGTATGCTGTGTACATGTGCGTGTGCGTGTATGTGTGTTTTATGTTGTGTAAAAGAATCATCCTGTGTATATGTAAAAGTAGAAAAAGTGTTGACTCTATCTTCGTAATTTAATACCTCATCTACACCATCCTGGCTTTCATAACTGGCCCAAGCTTGACCATCATCAGAATATTGGATAATATATTCTGTCACGTATTCATTAGTATGTGCCCGCCCTCGCGTAGCAATGCTGCGTATCTCATATCTGTCCCCCAGCTCCATAGTAAGATGTTGATTGTAACTGCTAAGTTCTGGTGACCACGCGGAATCTCCTGCAAAGCCCAGCTCCATGTCCATGTGTAAGAGGAGAAAAAAGCGAAGCATGCAAATGGATATAGGAAATAATGAAAGGATAATTAAATTACTTAATTTATTATTCTGTCATAATTCTTGCTAGTCAATCTGATTTAGCTATAAATTTCCAAATAAGATTCATTCAGATTTTACATTCTAGCTTATTATTACGAATTTCTATTTAATATATGTTATTTCGCATCCCAGTGCGTATGTTTGTGTTAGAAAAAAAATAAATAATGTAACATTTGACATGAATGAAAGTATTCAAATAATGAGAAAAAAAAAAATGATTGGTGCAAAGCACAGTTCAAGTGAAAATCTGTGTGAAGCATATTGAGATACTTACCAGACAAACCTGATATTGTTCATAATATAAAAAGTTTTATAAAATATTTTACTCGCGCCTGTACTTGACGCGAGGCATTACCGTGTCTATTGATTAACTATTCTAAACACATTTTACATAGATTATTACACTTCCTACGAGCATGCATAAGCAAGCTTTACGTTAGTCCAGTTCTATGCATACATTTATTAATTATACCAAGCTTCATCATTGTTAAATTATTACTAAAGGCAAAAAGTATTAAAAAAGCTCAGTAAAAAGTAGAAAATCAACAGCACCGAGAAAGAATGAGCTTACCTTTGCATGGCCATCTTCTTCCTTAAAATCCACATAATCGAGTCCGTTGGTGCCATAGCCAATACGATATTCCATAACATATTCGTTCTGTACTGATCGTCCCTGAGTCGCCACAGCTGTGACGTTCATCACTTGGCCCAAGTCGATTATTAAATACTGACCAAAATCAGAGCTGCTAGCCGTCCATGCGCTTCCGCCTACACCACAACATTTATGCATGCATGCAACTCAAAGTAAACTTATAGGAAAGTGCTTACGAATAATGGGAATACAGAACATAGCCAAATAATCAAAATTAATCCTGACAATACTTTGCTTTTATACTCAGAGTCTATATCACATTGTACCAAACTTGTACATTGCAATTTCAAGCCTTTTAGACTGCAGTAGGATGCACAGAAATACTTTTAAAGATGTACTTAAAAACTTTTCAGACAAAATTATATAATAATTCTCGGGAAAAAAATGAAATTATTTTCCAAGACAGCATTCGTTAACATGAATATACAACACATAGAAATGCTTCACACATAGAAATATTTTGAATCAATATAATTCTCTTTATATTTCAATGATAGAAAATCTTAATTGCGTTTCTTAAGGTAGCATATTATGCTTACTCTATACAAAGATTAGAAAATTACAATTTACAATTTGATTGTATCGTAATATTTTGCATATGGGAAATTATTCACAGAAATGAATTATTCCGGTATTATTGAGGTAATTAAAGAAATTGTAAAATATTATTTAATGCTTTATTTTTTATATTTAAACTGATATACAATATATAATATTAACCTCTTTCTGATATATTAAAAAACATTATCTTTCACGTATTATCTTATGAAATAGTCAATAAAACTATGGCTGTTCGTATTTTGCAAAATATTGACTTGTATATTGCGGATCGATTGGAAAGAGTGGAACTGCACGCGCCATTAGTTGATCGTAATTCATTATCTCGAATGGATTATTACGTAATCGTAATGAATTATCGTTTTCTTGCAATGCTACGGCAACGCAATGTCGTGAATCGAGTAGTGTCTCTTCAAACAACCAATTTTGCTTGATTCCGTTGACATGCAAGACCGTATCGGTCGTGATCGAATCTTCGCTTAAATCCGAATTTGTCCGAAAATCTATACTCCCTAAGTCAATAAAAACCCCCACGCCAAGCGCTTTAACGTAACTTTCTTTTAACGCCCAGTGTCTATAGAACATAGACATTTGCTCCGCTTCCGATTTGCCCGAATCTCTGATCTCCGCCCATTCGGCTGTAGAGAAATGTTTGTTCATCAGACGAAAAAAATCCGTGACGTTTTTACTCTCGTTATAATCTAATGTCATAACATCTACACCTATTTTCACATTTCTAATCTCGCCCGCTAGTACCGTATAGGAACCTTGATGAGAAACATTAAAGCTCACTACAGTGGAACTATCTTTCAATACAGGCCTGTTGTTCTCGTCTCTGACAAAAGTAATTTTGTCATACGGAATACCGGCATACTCGTTCACAAACCTTCTCATTAATAATCTACCCACGAGGGAAGCTCGGACATCCTTACGAAATACAAATCTCTTTAGCCTCTCCTTCTCATCGCTTTGTATACAAGAAATCGCGTGCTCAAACTCCCGCTCGCTCGGGTTCCACTTTTTCCAATTAAATGCCCAACGAATGGTCGACGACATTCTAGCGATATTGGCGCTAAGCATAATCAAATCGCTTAACTATAGTTTACACATCCCACGCACTCTTTGACCGGTCTGGGGGATCACAGCTGATTTATTCTTAAATTATATATATATATGTCTCTGATTATAAAAGCAATGCTTTTCGAAATATTTCGTTTTTGAGTACTACTCTCCAGGCTACTTGCTAGGATCCACCTGAAGCAAATATAAATTTATTAAACTATGCTCGTTTTGTTTTTAACTTTGAGATTGTTATTATAAGTATTTCCACTTAAAATGCTACATAATAAAGACGGAGACAAACGAGACGAGAGTATAAAGTGATTGAGCGATGAGTCATGTAGTGAGCATGTATAGGCTCACCTAATTCTTATAATTGAGCGTAACGGCGGGCCAGTGTCCGCTGGCACTAATTAAATTTCTTGACTCTTATCGGAATTTTTTATTGAGAGATATCGCATAGTATTAGCAGAATCATTTGTAACTATTATTAATGCAAACAGAAGCAAATATAGTGCACAATATAGACAACGACAGACTTCATAGGAATAGAGAGCAAGCAATAGGCTACTGCTAGTACCGTATAACTATATATATTATATATATAAAGAGAGTATACAGTTGTACAATAATTCATGTCTAACAAGTAAAACGAGACTTGGACGTAAAAACTGAAAAGTCAAACGTTTCTTTCTCACCTTGTAGTCTAGCGTTGTTCGGTCCTCTTTCCGGCAAGGAAGTTGTCGCTGTTAGTTGAGCTCTCTCCAAAAGAGGAAAAATGCACTCGTCGTCATCTAAGGAACAATCGTAATGTTGTTAAAGTATTTGCTAAATTATACCTTTTGTATAGAAGTGCAAGAATTATTAAGTATTCTCCTGGCAAAGCATATATTGCATGAAAGCAAGACTTTTTTGTATTTTACTAAAACAAGCGCATAATACGACAGCATCACTAAAATAAAAATAAAATTTTGTTAAATTTAAATAATTATAATAATAAAATAAAGTGCACAAAATAGACGTTCAAAAATAAATTTTTAGATTTATATTTTTTATACATTAAAGATATACATATTTAAAAAATTATCAATTCCATGTGATATAAAATTATACATATAAATAATTGATAACAAAGTAATCTATTAAGCAAAATATACGTTTGCCAGGAGATTCGAGCAGAATATTGCAGCAGATTGGCATCAAGTGCATTCATATTAAACTTGCTCTGCCAATAGAGTCTATTGGTATAAATCTAGTAGCAAATTGCCAGCAAAAATCGAGCAGACTTTATCATGTCGATGAAACAAGCCATTTAAATGGAATATCATCAATTCCGCTCGGTTTCCGCAGTCAATCCGTCAACACATTATGCTAGTAAATTGTCACATTTCTGGCCACACTTTGCTGACAAAATTGTAACGGGAACTTTGCGAAACCAAATTTCAATAGATTTGACTAAGAATAAAATGCATCATAGATACAAGGAAATTATAGGTAACAATTATATACACGTAACATGTTACATTGCAAAATAACATAATGACGGGACTGCCGGACACGAAATGTATGTAAGGTATGCCTATTTTTGACGACATGTAATTCGTAATCAGATTTCAAATTTCAAGAGAGCTAATGAATTTATATACAATTTTTCATGCCGCACATTTCCATGTCATGTGTGTTCACATATAGGTATCTCATGTGTGTCGAGCTTTCAAATGTTTCGTGTTACACGGCATATTGAGGCACACAAATGAAGTGCACACCTGAATTATAAATGAAACGAATTACAGGTAAAGTCCGAAGTGGATCCGACGATCCGGGCGTGCGTATGACGCACGCAGGCCGCATTACGCATCTCGTACTCGCGTATGACGCGAGTACCCGCCGCGCGCCATGTTATCAGCGAGCGACGGGCTGGGTCGTGCCAGGAAGTTACGGTACGCGTGCCACCATAGCGATTTTAATGCGTCAACTTGTACTGGCTTGTACTTACAGGCGTACGCGAGCGAACCGGCCACAACGGCGAATGCGTACACGAGAAACCCAAGAGCGGTCATCGTACCATCGCCTTGCGCTTGAGAAAACGTCTCTATCCCACCGTGAAATCCTCGAGATCTAATGCAGGCAGACGTGTCCAAGAAAAACGAGACGTTTTACCGCACGTTTCCACTCGCACTAATTTCCCTCCGTGCAACTCCGAACAATTTCGTTTCGTGACTTTTGAAAGCACACTCCCACCGTCGTACGGTTCACGACGGCGAAGCGTCAGTGCGCGTCGACGACGCGAATCAACAACGGAGTAATGTGACGCGGGGACGAACGCCTACGAATGCCGCACTGTGCCGCGCCCTGGAGCGGCCATGCGGCCCATGCCCGCGAATTAGATGGGACCATGATTGAAGCGCCTCTATGGTCACAAAACGTGGACATTGAACTACGTAGCCAATGTCCATGATTATGTCGGTAATGTTGACAATTTTTTAATGCTCATCCGTGCTATGTTCAAATTATAGAAATATGTATACAATTTATTTCTTTACTAATAATGTATAAAACAATTGTTGATTCTTTTATACAAACCAGCTTATATAGACAAATATTAATGTGTCTTACTGTATGTAATAACATACACACGAATTGTACGAAAAAGCATTAAAAAAGCGCAACTAAATCAGAATAGATTAATTGTGAAATTGATGTTGAAATTCAGTACTCACGGTATTGCGGCGTTCTCCGATGTCGTTCGCCAGTCAAACATCTTCCGCTGCACTTATCTAATAGCACCAGTATCTGACATTAATTCAGGAGCATCTCTGCATCATCCCGCGTCGATTGCATGTCACTTTGTTTCACTCCCGATACACTCGCGAGTCGCGACAATATTCGAGATTGTAATTTGAACAAGTTTCACAATTTAATTAATCGAGCAGTTATATTGAGCATTTATCGGAAATGTCATTCGCAAATTCGGTTAAAGAATTCTCTACGTCCATGGTATGTGATGCCACTTGACACGCTCGCATACGCTTGACGAAAATCCACGATATTGATCCACAATGATAAAAACTCAATTGTCTATTCATTTGCGAATTTATTTAAAGAATATTTATGTAAAATAAGTCCTTCTCTTTTGTCGTTAAAATGCGTCTCAGGCGTGCGATCGATCAAAATTCCTGCGAATGTCGAATGCGTTTTCGTAACATCTGTATGCAGCAAGATTCATCATGATGGCGAGAT